CCTACCTGGATCAATATGATTGACTTCATTCCTAGCCGATATATCCATGGAACATTCAGATCCACATCGAGTGCTTTGACTACTACCTTGACTACTCCCTTGACTACGACGAAGCAATCGCTCACGAGCTAACTTCGCCAGCAGTTTGTTTTCATCTAAAAATAGACAAGCATGCCAGTAGGCTGAATTCGCACGCGTAAGCATACCTCCTATCTTCACTTCGTCTTCAGGAACATAAATCTTTCCAGGGTCAGGATGGAACAACGACTTCTGCAAATATGGAAACATCGATAACGAAATTAGCCAGCTATCAAAAAACTCTTGATTAAATCAAAATCAAAGTGATTTCTTACCGGTCGCTTTTTAGCCGCTTCAGCACTTTGAGTTGCTCCCGCTCCACTGCTATTGCCGGCATCCTGTTGCCCAGCAGAAGTAGATGCTACATATTTAATCACACCAGGACTAGATCCAGGTGTCAAAGATGACTGTCTATCATGCAGATCAAAACCAGAACTATTCGAAGACGGATAAGGCTGAGACTGTGTGGAAGAGTTTGGCAAAGAGTTGGCGAATTGGGAAGTTTGGCCTGAGTTGACTGACGAATATGTGGGAGCAGTTTCAGTGACAGCAGTTGGGAAGCCGGAATGGTGTGAAGAAGGCACGAAAGAGTGAGAGTCAGTGGGATTCAACCAACTGATTCCATTGGCCAAATCTGCATCTTGGGAAGACGAGGATGTTTCCCATCTGGATCGCTGAGCGGTGGCGTTTCTCCTGAAACCAAAGGTTCAATTTCATTCAAAAACTCAAGTAGCAAAGCTTACGTTCGACGCCTCGGATATCTACGTACAACATCGCTATCCTCGTCTTCACTGGATAAAATAATCTGAATATGTACTCAACCGATAAGCTGAACACGTAAATTACAAAGTTTGATTGCATACCGTATCATCAACAGCTCCTATGGGACTCCTTGATCGAGATCTTCTTGTTTGCTGGCGCTCTTGTATATTCATACGAGGGAAAAGGTATGGCAAATCATTAGCCATCATTTCCTGAGAAAAAATAAAAGAATTGCTCAATGAATTAACAATTTAAAAAAATATAATTCGAAGCTTTTCGAAACCCCTATGCACCCTAAACAATTACAACTGGAGTTCCAAATTAATCGATACCAGCTGGCATATCCGGCTCCGCCCGCTCCGGCAGTACTATCACAAATTCACACTCCCCGAACGTGCAACAATTCCCTGTCCCAATGCCTTGAGT